CATCCATCCATCCATCCATCCATCCATCCATCCATCCATCCATCCATCCATCCATCCATCCATCCATCCAACAGTCCATCCATCCATCCAACCATTCTTTCATCCGTCCGTCCGTCCATCCATCTATCATTGGACGGTTCTTTCATCCGTCCATCCATTTATCCATCCAACTGTTCATCCATCAACCATCCATCCATCCATCCATCCATCCAACCATTCTTTTATCCGTCCATCCATCCATCCATCCATCCATCCTTTCGTCCGTCCGTCCATCCATCCATCCATCCATCCATCCATCCATCCATCCATTCATCCATCCAACCATTCTTTCATTCATCCATCCATTCATCCATCCAACTCTTCATCCATCTACAATCCATCCATCCATCCATCCATCCATCCATCCAATCACCCATCCACCATCAGACCATTCTTTTATTCATTCATTCCATCCATCCATCCATCCATCCATCCATCCATCCATCCATCCATCCATCCATCCATCCATCCATCCATCCATCCATCCATCCAACCATTCTTTCTTTCATCCATCCAACTGTTCATCCATCTGCCATCCAACCATTCTTTCATCCATCCATCCATCCATCCAACCATTTTTTCTTTCATCCATCCATCCATCCATCCATCCATCCATCCATCCATCCATCCATCCATCCATCCATCCATCCATCCATCCATCCATCCATCCATTATTTCATCCATCCTTCACCATTTTCTATTCCTGTTTCTTCCAGATAAGTTCAACACCTACGTGACGCTGAAGGTCCAGAATGTTAAAAGCACAACCATCACTGTGCGAGGAGACCAGCCCTGCTGGGAGCAGGACTTCATGTTGTAAGTTTCACTAAATGCCTGATTTATCTCATTCTATGGTTTAGATAAAGCAAGGCTGTTGAGGAAAGTAATGTTCTGGTAGCCGGAAGAAGGACCTGAAATGATGTTCCATCTGGTTTCCCCCATTTTTATAATTTAGAGCCACTCTTTCTCCTTAAACAGTCCAGATTAGCTTGCTCATTTCCTTCTTATGATCCGCTGGTTTCATTTCCAAATTTTCCAACAGCCAAGTGTCCCCATGGTGATGAAAAAGCCAACATGTTGTTCGCCTTGTGTCATTGTTTGTCTTTGCAGCAGTGTTTGTTTTTCCAGACCTTCATCTTTCCTTGTATTCCTTGCTGATGTGTCTCCCTTTGGTGATTCAGCATCTATCAGAGGCACATGTTGGTTTCTAGTAAATGTTCGGCACCATCAGTTGCAATAGATGCTGTCAAAACCAATAATATTGTTGAATTAAGAAAATATTTTCACCGCCAATTGCTGATCACAGCATCAGATCCATAGATTTTAAATAATGTTGTCTTATGTACATTAACTTTGTATTACTAAGGACAGGGGGCATTTACCATTAGGCAATACTATACAGTTGCCTCAAACTCTGTTCACATGGTTAATACAACTATTCCTTATTTGTCACATTAATCATGTTTTTGATAAAAATGCTTTCGCTAAAACGCCATCAGAACACTTAGAATATTAAGTGTCATGCAGCTATTATTTCATTCAAATGAAAAATGGAGAACAGATAAGCAGATCATGGCTTGTCTACAGTGAAAAGAAGGACTGGGTTATTTACTTTTGCCGTCGCCTTTTTGGAAACACAGGAAGGAGCAATCAGCTAAGTGAGCTTAGTGCTTGGAAAAAATCTTTCAATCATTTTGAGGCAGCATGAAAAGTCAGCTGAGTACAAAACATAGAAAGGAAAAAAACAATAAAAAGGGACAAGAAGAGAGGGACAAAGCCTAGAACAAAGAATGGATGTCTATTCTATTAAAATTTCTCTATCTGTATAATGGGTCTGTTTCATGTGTTGTCTTCTCAATTCATAGGACCCCCTGCCTGTCTTTAGCCTCGTGAGACCATCCTGATCTCGCGAGCTTTCAAGATTTTACTCGCAGATCAGTCTGGAGACTCTCCGT